AGTTCTGTCGCTGCTCTTGACACAACCACCCCCTGCTCTCTCTCGCTCTCACTCTGGAGACCACTCACCGCACCCGAGCAGATTCGAACCCGGGGCACTTGCTCAGACAGCAAGTCAGTTTCGGTGCACAAATTAAAATAGAGCTAAAAAAAATAAGGTGATTGTACTGCATTGAAAAGCAGAGCTGGGCCATACTCCCCCAGGATCTGGCAAGGAGAAAAGGATGTAAAAGAGAGGCTGTGAAGCAGCAAAGCAGCATTTGTTCTTCATTAAATGAAAAACGTATCGCCTTTACCCAGTTCCAATCACTGCACCAGCAGCCCTGGCGGATTTCGTGCAAAAAAAAAAGACATTCATGGTCAATGCATGGGCAATCTCATTGCATCTCCAAAAACAAACAAACAGGCTGCCTCCCACTCACCATCCTTTCACAAGAGAGATCCCTTGCTGCAGAGCCAGGCGGTACCAGCAGGATGCCACCTGCACACATCATCAGGTGTCACTACAATACCTGCACCAGTCCCATCTCTCTGCACTCTTCCTGCAAGTTAGGATTCACAAGGATTCGTACATGAAACTCCAGGCATTACGAGGCTGAGTGGGACACCCTGTAGGGGTGCAAATTGAAAATAAGGAGCAAACAGAGCAATGGGATTTTTGCTTGGCAGCTGTAAAGCCAGTTCACAGGGTTGGGGCACTTCAGAACTCGCCTTGACAAACCGATATGCAGCTGTAGTCTGCATAATCAGATGCCAATTCAATCTTCTCTTTCATTGCCAATTGAATCTTCTCTTTCTTATGTTGGGAGGACAGTGCAGTTGAGGAGGCGGAACGTTTGTGATGTGGACAATGGCGCAGGAGGAACAGCTCAAGTCCAGGCAGAACTGGCTCCTTCGCGTTTCCTGAAGGCTGGCACAAGGCAGAGCAGGGCTGCAATGTGGTCACACGCGGCAGCTCAGTGTCCTTCATATGAATCCACTGGGAGTCAGGATTTATAACAGCTTCTGACCTTTTCATTTCAGCACACTTTCCCCTCGATTCTCCTCCCCGCATGCGCTGATCTATAAAGTGAGCCGCGTTTTTCCTTTGCTCATAAATAAGATTGAAAAAAAACAAAACAACATGGGGTGTAAACTCAGACACAGCACCTTTTCGAACAACAATGAAGTCTGTCAGCCCAAACAGGTGTCACTGCCATAACATACACACTAGAGAACACAATGCAGTTCATGTTTTTTCCCATAAATTATTGATACAGTATTAAAAATCATACAATACTTAAAGCAAATATAGTCAACATTGTCATATAGATTTATATATATATATTTTAGCTCTATCAGGATTTTCAGCTGTGTGATCAATGCCTACCAACTTCCCAGGAGTGCGCAGGAGTATCTCAGAGTCCGAGAGCTGCACACTCGGGGGAACAAGCAGATGGAAATTTGAACCAGGCTTGCACATGTTTGTCCTGTCTCCGCCGCCCAGAGAAACAGCTGTGTTTAACCCTTTCCTCTCCCTTAAGGCAGCCTCTTTTTTCACATTTGTCTGGTACGGTATCAACACTAAGTGTTGTTTTCTAAGACTTTTTTTTTTCCCCATCTCCGGGAAACCCAAAAGGAATAAATTGCACGGATACTCTGCACAAGCTGAATTTGCTGGTTTAGGACTTTAGAGAGTCCAAGTGTTGAACACCGTCACAGAGGCAGACTCTGGTTTGTTAAACCCCTTCTTGTCCCAAAGAGATAAAACCGGCTTTTGCAAAATTAGGAACAAGCAATGGGAGTGAGAAGTTTTGAAAAATACAGAAGTACAGAGATATTCTGATCTATATCAGCAATAATTATGGATTCAGGTTTTCTTCACAAAAGAAACCCCAAGAGGACAAAAAAAATGCTTTGACGTTTAAGAACAGAACCCAGAGGTCAAGGCTTGAGCTAACGAGTGGCTCCTTTAAGGATGCTGAGCTACCCTGAATAGTTTGAAACAGTGTGCCCACAGCACTGGTCTAGCGCCATGCAAAATCAAGGTGTGAAATGGACAACAGCTCCCCCTAGCTGTAACCTCACAAAGGCAGTTTTGCCTCACATCACACAAGCAATAACTGTTAGTCTAGAGCAGGGAGCTGCTTCTGCATGCATAGGCTGCAAAGGAACAAGTAAAGGTTTATTCCATGCTGAAAGGAAAAGAAAAGAGACAACCTTTTGGCTGGGGAGCCTTCTTAGGCGTTTTCTTAGCCGAAACGTCGTTTCTCTCGTCTCATGGAATAAACGTTCAACTGTTAGTCTAGACCCCGCGATATGGTACATTTGAGTCACAAAGAAAAAAAAAAGAGTATAAACTTGTAACCTCTATAGTCACAAATAAAAGGTTGTAAAACAACCCATTCTGCTGTTTAAAAGTGCTTTCTTAGTGAGGAACCGTCTGTAAGGCAGTGAGGGGAAATTTTAGAAGATCCCCTCCTGCCTATGGCTCTATTTTAGATTAGTGCTGAATTACCGAACCTGTAGTTCGTCACAGGCAATGCCACAGTTCTCCAAACTTCTACACCTACAGACTTCACAATGAATAACGCGCTTCACAGTAAGAGTTTTTAAAAGCTGTCAACACAACAAAGCTACACAAGACCTTTTGATAGGTACATTATTCTGAATATAATGCTGGTCTTGAAATTCAAAACTGGGCATGCCTCCCAGTGGCCATTAACGTATGTCATAAGTAGCATCATTATTCCAGAGTAGTGTGCTCTGCCATAGTTAAACTGGAAACTAGGGATTTTAAGTCATGGCTCGTTCAAGTATGGTAACAGCCGTTTTGCTGTGCTGCAAACTGGGGACATTAACCATGTGACATTAACTTCCTGTTTGCTCCAAAGAGACTCATTATCCCAAAAAGAACTTGCTTAACCTACCCATACCATCAGAGAATGAAGTACAAGTATTGAAGATGAAACGTGTAATGCATCTAATTTTCAATGGGAAATGTTTTCAGTGTCAAGGAGAGGTTTCCTATGAATGTTATAGCTTAGTGTGTAACATCTTTACTATTCTCCACTAGCTGACAGAAGACCTCCTGGAGAAGTCAGTCCTGCAGTCTTTGTAACGTCAGAAACTCCATCCATTGATCTAGAACAAGAAAGATCTAGACAGTGGCTTGTTTGAGAATCTGTTTTTTTTTCTTCTGAAATTACAACTGAACGGGCATGAGTCATTCCCCTAAGTCAGACACAACTGCTCTAAACCGGTCACATGCTGCACAAACGCGAAGCCGCTGTGCTCAAAAAAAGCTTTCTGGAAGTGATACTGTCTTCTACTGTCGAAATGAACTATCCTGTCGAAGTGGTACTTGATACTGTTGAAATGAACTGTCTTCTAATCACATGTTTATTGGCAAGCCAGTTTTAATTATTTCGTGCTAATTTCAACGGCTTGGTCAAAAAGCTGTTGCGTTGAAGCAAATGGCCTGGGAGGTTTGTACTTCCTCCAATGTGCACTTCAAAGAAGCCAGGGCTCCATCTAGTGATGTAAAATAGAAGAACAAGACCCCTGATTTATTTACGTACCAGGATCATAGGTCCTTCATCCATCCATTTACTTACACTTCTTCCAAGTCAAGCTTGTGGGGGAGCCAGAGCCTATCCCAGCAAGCAATGGGCGCAAGGCAGGGTACACCCTGGACAGGACGCCAGTCCATCACAGGGCGGACATACGCACACACACACTCAAGAAGCCAATGAGCCTACCAGCATGTCTTTGGACTTCGGGAGGAAACTGGAGTACCCAGAGGTAACCCACGCAAACACGGGAAGAACATACAAACTGCACACAGAGAGCACCCTTGGAGTTGAATCCAGGGCCCCAGTGCTGGGAGACAGCAATGGTGACCACCTTGCTGCCCTCGTGCTTCTTGAAAAAAATACTAAATAAAGGAAAGATATGTAGTTCTGGAGCAAAAACAAAACAGATTGAAAAACCACTCTAAAACAATGGCTCTTGAGAGGAGTAGGGATGAAAGTTTGCTTGGGGCTTCATCGTGAGTAGGTATTGGGAGGAAGAAACGCTAAAATAAGAACAGGCCAGCGGAATGAGTGGATTCCCGAGCCAGCATGGAATATCAGAAACCTAGCAACGCACACTCAGCCTCTCCGCCGACGACAGGCGCGGAGGCCGCACAAGGCACTGCCTTCTGACGAACTGGCTCTCTCTCCCTGTTTATATTGGGCAGGTCTCTGTATTTCCAGGTCTCCTGGGGGGGAAGGGACAGGCAGTCAACCAGCAAAAACAGCAGCGAAAGGGAGTTTCATCACCCCCCTCTCTGCCCCCAGGGAGACAGTGCAATCAGGAAGACCAGTCAGACAGCTTGCCGGCAGACTTGAAAAAGGCTCACCTACACTATCTAGTTTGCTTTCTCAAGCACATCCAATCACGGCCAAAGACGCTCCAACCGGCAAAGCAGAACAGAAAAAAACAACTCCCGGGGAAACACCCGACCTCCTTTCTGATTTCCATCTTTCTCGATTTTAAGGTGACAAAGCAGGAAGAAGGAGATGCGTGTGTGAGGGAGTGAGTGTGTTTCAGGTGGTGGGGTACCGCTTTTTACCGGTCGTAATTTTGGGAAAGAAAAGGGATGGATCCCACACTCAGTGGCTAGGTCTTGGTCATCGCAGGCCTCCCTGGGAGCCAGGCAGACGCGAAATGGAAAAGAAACAGGGGGAAAGAAAAGTTCATTGCTTTATCAGCGCAAACCCCTGCTGTAGTTCCACTGCCACAATGAGAGAGAAAGATCCCATTCAGATTCACCTTATGCAGACCACTTCAATAACTCCGCTAATGAGCAGAGATTGCCACTTCCAGCATCCGTTCTCCAATGCCGGAATGAAACGCAGAACCACAAAAACCTGGAATTTGCTTGGTCTGTGGAAATGTAACACAAAGTAGAACTTCTCCTCTCCCTCTTATTTTTTTTTTAAATATGCGTCTATCTCCAGATAAAATCCACTCAAATTCATTATATTACTATTATTATTCCATTAAGTATAGGCAACAAGCTTTGTTGTAGGCTATTGTGCAAAATATCCGCAAAAAGTGAGAAACTAAGCGTCCGACTCAAGTGGGGCGCTCTCTCCTTCAAAGGCAAGGTGGGGACCTTCCGAGGGGGACCCCTCGGGGCTCCGCGGGGATCCTTCGAGGTGCCCGCTGGTGTTGGCAGGGCGGTTTTCGGGGACGGGCAGCCCCGGGATCACCGCGGCGGTCTCGTCCGAATCCTGCCCGCGGGCTGCCGCCAGCTCGGCGTCCCCCCCAGTTCCGTCCCCGTCGGTGGTGCGACACTCCTTGTACCCCGTCGTCGTCTCCACCTCTTCCTCCCCGGCGGGGAGGCCCAGAGACTCCGGCTCCACATGGTCTATCTGGTAGTACACCACGGGGGAGTCCTTGAGGAACGCCTGGTGATGCGGATCCACCAGGTTCTCCGTGAAGCACAGAACCGAGGTGCCGGGGGGGAACTCCCCTTGGATGATCACAGGCTCGGTCCCGTCGGCCACCTCCCCCATCCCGGCCTGGGCCGGCATCAGGGGCTCGGGGAGCAGGCACAGGCCCAGGGCACCGCCGTCGGGGTCCGTGACCAGCGCCCCCTGCCCTTCCTCCTGCTCCCGGCGGCGCTCCTGCTCCTCGGCGCTCTGCAGGTGGAGCACGGCGGTCTCGTTCTCCAGGGCCAGGCTGTCCCTCTGGGCTTGGTAGTCCGCGTCGCCCTCCTCGGCCCCAGGCTGCGCCGCCGGCCTGGCGTCCGGGTCGAGGGGCGCGGGGAGGGAGGGCTCCGTCGGGGCTGGGTGGCCGGGGGCGGTGCCCAATCCCATGCCCTCGTGGGCCCCCACCTGCCTCTTCTTCTCCAGGTCCAGCTTCATGATGGTGTGCAGGTAGTGGGTGCGCACCCGCAGGGGGTTGAACTCGATACGCCCCGCCACGTTCCCGCAGCCGTCCCGCGAGCAACCGCACGGGAAGGACATCCGGTCCACCTGTCCCGAGGAAAGACGGGGACACGTCACTGATGCGCTGAGGCCGTGGCTTGTCCCTGTACCATGTGTCACGTGTCCCGTGTGTTTATTGTCCTGCACTGCCTGTTGGATGTTGTTGACCTGTGTAGTGTGTGATGGCCGGCTGCGGCTCTCATTATTGACTGTTTTGTAATGCTCTGCGCACGATGGGTGGCGTTGTCTATTGGACTGTGCACGTCTCGAGAAAACAGCGAGAGTGAGAATCCCAGTGCACACGTAGATACGGCAAATAAACTCCTCTCTCTTTCTCCACAGCTCCCAGAAACCCAGGAACCCCCTAAACTACAGCCACGAAACAAATCACCAGGAACTGGGAAAAGCCGGACAGACCGAGTGTTAAAATGTGGTAGGTCTCTATGAATGAAATATCACCAAAGAATCAGATGTCACAACATTGTATTTGTAAAAAGACGGTCAAAATCGGAAGGATATGCAGAGACTCTCTACTGTTACCTGTGTGATCTCTCTTGGTAGCGTGATAGTAACAAAAGATGCAGTAGACAATTAGAAATTGTATAAAAGTAATTTAACACTAATTTCGATTTTGTATACGTCCCTCTCTTTTTGTATTTTGTGTTTCTGTTTTTCTTTTTTTAAGTATGTGAAAAAGGAATATTGACAGAACCACAATAAAGTATAAAAAAATAAACACACCCTAAAGGTCAGCAAAGAGAGTCTTGCTTCCAGCCCTGTCGTTGTTATTGTGTTGTGATATGTTTTTATTGTGTTGCATTGACATGCTAGAAAAGAAATCCTGAGGACAAGGCCAATCAAGTTCTCCCAGCAACCAGCAGCCCCATCCCGCCTCCCACTTATCCCCAATTTCTAGACATCGGTCAGGGGTTTGACCACTGGGAACCAGGGTGGTGCCGCAGCTCTGCCAGGCCGGGCGAAGTGAGCTGGAGACCTCATACCATCCCCTTGCGGTACCTCAGGCCTGTTCCTGCGAGCCTGAACTGAGACTCTGCCCACTCAGTCAGCTGCTGAGGGAGCAGGAAACTGGCTGCCCTTTTCAATCCCTGCAGTTATTATAAACTCATAAGCAGTGTTTCCCCCCCTAACAGGGCTGTGGAGGGCCGTGTGAGCCTCTCTGTGGACTTTGGCAGGCAATGCACAAATTATTGCATGTTATTGCATCCAACATTTATCACATAATGCGCAATTATTAGTTAATTATGTTATCCAAACATATGATTTTATTGCTGGGATTTTATTGAGAGGCGCAAGGGTCCCGAATTCAGATTAGTGGCCGAGTCACTAAAACTGAGACGGAGAAAAACTAGATGAAAGCGTAGGCGGGTACCCACACAGAGAAACGGGACACAGCACACGGAGGCAGCCAGTGAGACAATCAGGGCGTCTCCAAGACACGTCGCCGAGGCGAAACAGCACCTATCGGTGAGGAGCCCCTTGCTCTCAGTGGGTGCCCCCATTACCTGGCACTTGATGCCTGCCTGGCTGCAGCCGCAGTTCTGGGGGTCACAGTAGAAGCGGCAGTCGCAGCCGCACTCCTCGCGGGAGAGCCGGATGGCGCGCAGCTCCGTCTTCTCCTCAGCGTCGATGCGGGCGATGCCCGAGGCCCGCAGCAGGGCGCGGCGGCGCTTGGTGGGCAGCGGCTGCAGGAAGAAGTAGTCGTCCACCTCCACGCCGTCCACGTCGATGTCCTCGTCCGACACGTCATCCAGGGTCAGCGACTCGGCCTCCGCGCACTCCACCGTGCCGTTGCGCGTCAGCTGGGAGGGGGACAGAAAGGGAGGGCATGGTGCTCAGTTCGGCTGGGGATTTTTTATTACCTTTTACTTACCCAGCTTTCTCCTCTACAGCCTAGCTTTATTTTAGACTTTGAACATGCAGGATAAAAAACTAACTGGATAGAAGAAAAAGTTGAATTGGGCTTCAGCAGCTGGTTACAAGTTGAAACCACGGGCACAAACAGTGGAATTTGATGGGACTGCAAGCATCTCATCTGAGATCCAAAATAGCTGAAGGGCAGAGAGGAGGCAGATAGAGACCACAGTGCCCTGGCTGCAGTACGGCTTGAGGAACAAGTCAGGGTTAATCCATGCTGAGCAACAGAAAAAAGAAATGCAATCTTTCGGCTGTTGTGCCTTCTTCAGGTGAAAGGACAATAAAGCTCTTTCTTAAATCCAGATGACCTTCAGCTAACTGACCAGCCAGAGGCCTACAATAGCTCCCCTGTTCAGTGACTGAAGCTGAAGATCAAAGACCACACTTGGGACAATGTGGTCTGAAAAGCGTTATAAAGAAGCGGACTGTTACGAGTGTCAGAAAGCCGAAACGGGAAGAGGCGACAGCTGAGTGTGGGGCTGGGCAGGGAGCTGCGTGTCAAGACTAGAGGGGTCACAGGGAGGGGCCAAGGGCCCCCACTGACCTTCAGCTTGCGGGCGTTGAGCTTCTCCTGGCGCAGGTGCTGCCGCAGGGCCTGGCGGTGGCTGGTCTCCTGCTCGTGGGCGAACTCCCCCAGCGTGTAGCGGCGGATGGCGCTGTGGTGGCGCGCCATGCCCAGCGAGCTGCCCCCCTGGCTGGGCACGCTGGTGAAGCCCTGTCGCCGGGAGAAGTAGTACACCGTCACGGCGTCGAAGCGCACGCTCTTGCGTCCAGAGGCCTTCTGCCGGCGGAGGATTGATGTGGCTGTGCGGGGGGGGTGAGAGACACAGGTTAGTTTGGGGTTACAAAATGCCAAACACTACCTCTACCACTCCCAGGCGCCCCCCACAAAAAAGAATCATTACTTATATTGTAGTTTCTTTGTTTTTTGACTTCCCGTGGCAGTATTTTGTTCACAGGCATGCACCTTTAGCATTTTTTGCCTCTGCAGTTGAATGTCGGTTTAGAGAACTGATACTGAAGAGCATCGTTTCCATCCCACGGCCATGCAGGTCTGGGCATGACCGCCGTGCCTCTCATCACAGCGGCGCTGCTGGATAATCAGGTCTCGAGACGCAGCCATTCATGAGAGCCTCTCTTGAACCCCAAACACTTCCCAGGCATTACAGGGAATCCAAAAACATACAGAAACTGGGACTCGGGTAAGGACACTGCAATTGTCTCATTGCAAATACCGTTCTGGATGTCAAACGGCAGCCTTGTCTCAAAGAGTTCAAAGTTACAGACATGACTATTTCACAGCGGCGAGCGCTGAAATAAGACAGGAACATAATTTAACTGGATCATCTCTGTAATTTAGTGACACACGTACAGAAGATGTGACTACTCCATCCTTTTTTGTGCCTCTATTCCTTAAGATAAGATTAAACAAAGGCCCTAGATAATGTATCTAGATAGTAAGTAAGGTAATTAACCTTTCTAGAGGTATAAAGGAAATTAACTGCATGTGTCGATTCAGAAGAGGAAGCATTTTCCATTGCACAAAGGGTGGCAGGTGTCTGGAGCAAGCTCCCCAGGCATTCTGTTGAAGCTGATTTCCTGGGATCTTTCCCCGGACAATCCCCAGACCATGCAAACAAGCAGATTTTCCTTTCCTTGTTTGAAAAATGTATTTTCGTATCAGGCCAGAGCCGAAGAAGATCACTGATCCAAGACTGACTGTAAAAAAAAAGCACTAAAACATATTCAACAGCCTGGCTTCAGTTTCTCTCCTGAAAGGCCCCGTGCTATCAATCTGTCACTTCACCTTGGGCAGCATGGGGAGCTCTGATCACACAGAGCTTCATTTATACAGTATACAGTAGATGACCGGTGATCTGGAAAGCATGTTAATTAATTAATGGATTGATCCAGTTAAATCATTCCTGGCTCAGCTGGGGCTAGAAACTGCAGAGGTTTCAGTTTCAGTTTCCCAGGCTGAGGGTGTCAGGGCGAACGAAGGAATATGGGAGGTGGGGTGGTGCTGGAGGTCAGGCACGACTCACGCGTCAGAGTGGAACTGGAGGGAGGGTTGAGGCTGTCGCAGCTGTCGGCGCTGTCGCTGCTCGAGATCTCATCGTCCGAGTCCTTCGGGGTGGAGTAGGGCGAGCCGCTGTCCACCTCCTCGAACCGCCGCTTCAGTCCGAGCCCCGACACAGCCTCCATCAGACCCCGACACCTGCGTACACACAGACACACACACACAGACACACACAGGCTTGACAACAGCCTCCATCAGACCCTGACACCTGTGCACACAAACACACAGGCTTGACAACTGCCTCCATCAGACCCTGATACCTGCGCACACACAGACACACACAGGCTTGACAACAGCCTCCATCAGACCCTGATACCTGTGCACACAGACACACACAGGCTTGACAACAGCCTCCATCAGACCCCAACACCTGCGCACACACAGACACACACACACAGACACACACAGGCTTACAACAGCCTCCATCAGACCCTGACACCTGTGCACACAGAAACACACAGGCTTGACAACAGCCTACATCAGACCCTGATACCTGCGCACACACAGACACACACAGGCTTGACAACAGCCTCCATCAGACCCTGATACATCTGCACACACAGTCACAGACACGCTCGATAACAACCTCCATCAGACTCTGATACCTGCACGCACACACAAGCTTGACAACAACCTCCATCAGACCCTGAGACCTGTGCACACACACAGACATAAGCTTGATAACGACACCAACCAGCTGCAACTGAAGGTCAATAAACAGTTTCCAATGGGCAGGACATCAAACAGAATAATATCCATCCATTCATTTACTATCAGCTTCTTCCAATTCAGGGTCCTGGGGGAGCCAGAGCCTATCCCAGCAAGCAATGGGTGCAAGGCAGGATACAACATGGATGATACGCCAATCCATCACAGGGCACTAGCATAATGTATTATACTATAAAATTACTCCTAGTAATTCACCTTAAATATTACACCACTGAAATCACTGACTAGTACACTCCATAGTTCTCTAAAATGCATAATTACCATATTTCAAATGCTCTATGCATTGCTGTGTCACTGTTTTTGGTGGGTTGTATCAGATGACACATTCACACACACTCATATACATGGATGTGTGCTTGCATGACACTCCCAGGACAAACTGGTAGCACGCAGATACACACGGGCTTGATAACAGCCATCAGACCCTGACACCTGTGGGCACACAAACACACACAGCACCCATAAGTAGACAATTACTCCATTAAAAAAGTGGGGCATGTGAATTTATTCTGATATTAGACACAGCATTAGCAACAAGAAGGATCTGACACTTTGTGATTATTGTAAAGCAAAGTTTCAAATGGTTCCATTGGCTGTGCCACCAGACTGGCCACACAGTACACATCACCCCCTTCAAAAACCAGGACCACTCCACTGGAACTCCAGTAGAACCAGTCTCACTCTACACAGTTATCAGGAATTTTCATTCTGGGGGAGGACTCAGGGAAGATCACAGTACTGTACTGTATTTGTGTAAAGCACAATGAACTTTGAGCCCAGCACTCACGGAATATTGGCTAACACATTTTGAATTAAACTGTCCTGAAAAAAAAGACGTAAGAATATAACATCCAAACATTTTCCCCAGTGTCGGAAATCCACCTCTTCCTGTCTAAATAAAAAAAAATCCCTCCCCTTAATTTTGGACTGTTGAAATGGAAAATATATACACATATTAATTTGATTTCAATACCCACAGTGTCTAATACTGGAGTTCCTCCATGACTTGCAGATAATGGAGACAAAAAGGCAGTAAAGGGAGTTAATTTCATATAATTTCATAAAAGAAAGAAAAGAAACTGGCCAGGCTGTCTAGGAGGTGGCTCACACTTGACCACTGGCCAGACAGACTATGTTAACAGTGACGCAAAAACTGGACAAATAGCATTAAAGGAAAGGCAGAAAGCTGGCAGGAGATGAAGGCAGAAAAACATTTTCCATGAGATGGAGGGATTTAAGCCTCTTTAATTAAGCAGCAAGCGGCCTTGTGCATAGCTGTTAACAGCTCTCAGGTGTGACTAATATAACACATGGGGTGATTGTTCCAGCCAGCCTGACGAACAGAAGGATCTGGGAAACTATAAGTGATTCCAACACCCCCTTTCTGTCACGCTGAAACACTTTTTCTCCTCTGCTTGCACTTGTGATGCACTGGTTAGCTTTTTTGTGACCCGCACCCACCCGCCCCGATCTCAAATATTTTTTTTTTAACCCGAGCCTGCCTGCGGGTGCGAGTCAACCCCTGCATCACTAGCTTGCAGCCTTCCTGAGATCCAGATCTGGGGTCCCCAACCCTGTTCTCAGACACCCCCAGTTCAGTAAGTCTAATAGGTCACCCTAAATCATCAAAAGACTTGTAAGTCATTCATCAGATATGAAATGTATTCATCTTAAAGGAAGTCTGCTATGTGAGACCTGAATGGTGTGAATTGTGTTTCCCATGCTATCTCTGTTACTTAATTTAATAAGTTGCCATTAGAATTGTTTGTAATTAAATAGTTGCACGTCTTTAGCGGATGGTGATTCAATAGTTACCTACATAATTGCTGAATTGAGTCTTTACAGCAGTAGTTCCCAGCCTTGGTCCTGGAGGAAAAGTGCCTTCTGATTTGTATTTTCCTGCTGATCTCTACACCTCCAGTGTTAATTGATGGCTTAATTGATCTGACTGCTTTTTACTTGTTTATTAGATCCGTCCCAAGTGTCAAGAAATACCCAGGACTGTTTCATTGGGTATTCGAGGACACAATTTCCAACAAGTTCAGCGCACAGAGCTGTACACAGTTGGACCAGACAACAGTGTTCCCCCAGAACCAGAGCTGGGACTTCTATTCTACATTAATATTTCCCCATCTGCACACTCTCCACTCCTCAGGTATCAAAGGTACAACTACACAGGGCACCAAGGAATTTCAGGGGCTCACCTCAAAGGGTGTTGGAGGTTTTATGAAACACTCTGCAAAATCTAGTGCTTATAAAATGTGTAATATGCTACGCTCACCAATACAGACCAGGAACCCCTGACTCTTATCCTGAAGGACAGGTTACCTTAAATAACCTGTTACCCAAGAGACTGAACACCTGGAGATTATTGGCACGGAGGGAAAGACTATACATTGTTTCTATGAAGGAACTGTGGAGGCCTGAGGCCCGGAGATTTTCCTCCCGAGGAAAATCTCCGGGCCTCAGGCCTCCACAGTTCCTTCATAGAAACAATCTAACGAACGGGCTGGACAGGGGACAAGGTTTCCAAATGAGAGACTGTTCTGAGTTATCAGCTTTAGCAACCTGGCTGGGCAGCTTGTTCCAGACCCCCACCACCCTCCTCCTGGTCATGTACAGGAAAATGGAGATGACCTCCATGGAAGAAGTGCGAGCTGCGTGTTTATCAGGGTAAACTGCCTCGTGCCATCAGAGTGTCTGAGCTCAGCACACGTATTCATTTGTCTTGTGTGTGTGAGAGAGAGACAGTCTCTTTTGCAGGTCTTCAGCCCCTTAAGGTGACCCACTCAGTTTCATTCTCATTCTCCCACCATCTCTCGCCCTCCGTCTACCGTGAAATTTCTATTAAGATTGTGAAGCTTGCAGGCGTTTCCTTGGAAACCCGGAGGCACAGTTTACATAACCGGCCTTGGAGCGGGGGACTCTTCCCCGACCGAGGCAGCGTGAAAAGCCCAGGCTCTGGGCCGGCGCTCAGCAGCCCCGTTCGCAAACAAGAGCAAGTTTAAAGGGGAGCTGCAACGCTATTTTCAGATTTCAGGGTTAGAGAGAATCGGCACTGCTGAGTGCATTTCAAACTGCGATAAAGGTAAAATGTGCACAGTTATATGTTAAACCTCCAGTTTACATCAAAACGTCCAACAGATCCAACAGATACATTTAATCCAACAGATACATTTCAAGATGCTTTTTGCTGACAGATACTATTTTCTTGCTCACTCTGTATGCAGATTGCGTCGGAACATTTCTGCAGTGAAATACCTGCTGCACAACCTGTGTTTGTTCACTCACGCAGCATGACATTCAGTCATTACAGTGACTCGTGAGCAGGAAGGGCCACTTGCCGTCACAATTCTGAGCTCTCGCTCTCGCCCGTGGTGAGACCAGGGGTTTGCAGCAGCATGGCAACCTACAGCACTTTCACAAAGTGTGCTTAATTTGGAATTCATAAAATATCAACAATTCATTTATTTTGTTAGCAAGATTTAATAACCGGTCTGAGAAATTGGGACTGCAGTTAATAATAATAATAATAATAATTGCTTACACTTATATAGCTCTTTTCTGGACACTCCACTCAAAGCGCTTTACAGGTAATGGGGACTCCCCTCCACCACCACCAATGTTCAGCATCCACCTGGATGATGCGACGGCAGCCATAGTGCGCCAGAACACTCACCACACACCAGCTCTCAGTGGGGAGGAGAGCAGAGTAATGTAGCCAATTCATAGATGGGGATTATTAGGAGGCCATGATTGGTAAGGGCCAATGGGAAATTTGGCCAGGACACCGGGGTTACACCCCTACTCTTTTCGAGAAGCGCCCTGGGATTTTTAATGACCACAGGGAGTCAGGACCTCGGTTTTACGTCTCATCCGAAGGACGGCGCCTCCGCGTTAAAAGTTCCCCTTTAAACGCCGAGACACTGGTAATACTGTTCAAGGCTCAGACAGTGCATTAGGAAAAGACTCTTAGTGAATGCTCTGTGTGAGCAGACCCTGCTTTTTTGCAGGTAAGAGAGACATATCTGCTGTTCTACAAACAGACATATAAAGTGGAGCCCACATTACCACAATCATGATGGGTCAGTTTTGTCTCATGAATTCAGTTTAACATAGTCTGTCATATGAATGCCTTCTGCTACACAAAGCCGTATGCTGCTTTTCAAGACTCGGTCACATTTGACAGTGGTCACATTTCCCTGCCCCTCGCACCCAGATCTTTTTTAGCTCGATCCCTTAATGTTTATACGGGATGCCAGAGGGCCTCCGGCGGTGGGGCCACACAAGAGCTTGAAGATCAGACCTGATTAACAGCAGAACTGAAGGTGCAACAATGAATCAAAGACCGTTCCCTTCCCTGTCTGCTCACGATGTGGAATCCAGCCCACAGCCTCGCTCGTGATTTAAGCTGCTGACCAAACTATGACCATGGGAAAGACACGTGCCACACGGTAGCCAGGAAGGCAAATGAACCACACACCAGCTGGAATACATGTGAGAGTGCCAGGGCAGATAGACTTTTGTCACTGGGATAAACTGGAGGGAGGCACAGTGGTGAGCATTGCTGGGTCCAATTCCAGACCTGGGGTGCTGTCTGTGAGGAGTCTGTATGTTCTCCCCGTGTTTGCATGGGTTTCCTCCCGGTGCTCCGATTTCCTCCCACAGTCCAAAGACATGCTGGTAGGTTAATTGGCTTCTGGGAAATCTGGCCCTAGATGACAGTGTATCTGTCTGCCTTGCAATGGACTGGCGTCCCACCGGGAGAGTATCCTGCCTTGCACTTGCTGCTTGCCAGGAAAGGGTCCGACTCACAGACCCACAGCTCTGCATTGGAGGAAGTGGTTAGAAAATGGATAGATGGATAACCTTGATGTTGCATTGCAATGCTGTGGCACTGGTTCTGCAACTCCAACAGCAGCCGTTTCCCGTGCTTAAGTAGGAGGCTGCCTTGCCTGCCCTCCTTTGACAGCTCCCTCTCAGTTTTCTTTTCTAGCACAGTATATGAGAGCTCATGAAGTCCGCTGGCACATTGTAAAGAACAGTGCATTTGCCTGTATCTGCTTGGACTCTGTCTTCCAAGCTCCTAGCTGGACAAAGACCCTCCAGTAACTTCCTAGAGGCTTTGAGCAGTATGAGTGAGCGGCTGTGCTTCTCCAATAGGCCCTGAACTGAAAAGCAGCAAAGCCATTGGCAATTCCCAGACTGGCCAGTACGCGATACAAAAAACTAAACCGGCAACTTGAACTTTCACCAAAACGATACAGAGAACATAGGGTCCCCCTGTGCTGTTTCCCTTCACTGCTAGGTCTTACTGTCTCCACATACAGGCAGCACCCCAACAAGAGTTCCAGGCAAACAGTGCTCACTTAAAGGTGGCATTGCACTGGGCACTGGCACTGCCCCATCAGAAACCAACCTGCAAAGACTAATTAACCAGGCAGCCAGATGGAACGCTGTAATTATAAAGGAGGGCGAGATATGCAAATGGGGGCTTGGATGAATGTTTAATCAATGCATGCATAATGCAGAGCCATCAGTCAGCCAGGAAGCATCGCTGCAACTCCGGGCAGGCAGAGGAGCTGAGCTCTTCCATTACCACCAACAACACAAACAAAACGTTGGGGTGCGAGCTGGTGTTTCCAGTGTTCTGATGAGCCCTGGTGACCAGTGACTCCTGCCCTCGGCCCCCTGCTGACCCCCAGCCGCCAAGCCGGGGAATCTGTCCCATCAGCCTGACTTTGCCTCCCGACAGCTCCGGATGGCTCTCGCCCAGACACTTCCAGGCCCCATCAAGCACTGGGAAAACCGCTGATGAAGATAATCATGGCAGAGCGGTGGCTCTGTGGCTAAGGACCAGTTCCTGTGTCTGGAAGGTTTGCCGGTTTGTATCCCGTGGCTGGCAGAGGAATCCTACTCTGGTGGGCCCCTGAGCAAGGCCCTTCACCCCAACTGCTCCAGGGGTGCTGTACGATGGCTGACCCTGTGCTCTGACCCCAAGCTTCTCTTTCCCTGTCTGTGTGTCTCATGGAGAGCAAGCTGGGGTCTGTGAAAAGACTAATTCCTAATACAAGAAATTGCATATGGCCAATAAAGTGATCTTATCTTATCCTCCAGTAATGACCGGGGGCCCTGCAGACAAAGACGCTGGCCAGTCCATCACTCCATCAGCGGGGGAGCACGACCCCCGCTGTCGCCGGGTGGTCTCACACGAGCGCACCCCGAAGGGAGAGCCTTGGGAACAGTACTCACTTCAGAAGGTCGTACTGTACCTTCCAGGTTTTATGATGAAAGTGCAGGGCCCTGCCCTTTTGAGATTTCTGCTCTCGACTGCAGGTGAAACATAATTTGTTTTCACTCCGGAGCTGGAATGAGCCTCCCCAGTGCTGATCAGAAAAAAAAAATGTGCCCAGCTCCGGTGCTAATAAGGTGAATGTCCCCATTTTAAACACTATGTGCGATTGCCTAACACTGACCAGAATCCCCACGTATTCGCTTCATTTTCAACTGGCTGAACAGCAGCAGATCTTCAGATTGCTTCATTTTTTGCATTTGACCAAAGAGGTGCAACAGATCCAGTAAAGATTAAAACGCTGTGTTTTAGGTCCTGTTACAGGAATACTTCAAAGACTTCTGATATTAATAGACGCCGCTGCGCTAAGACTGGGATGTAGATGCACCGGAAATAGTTTAAAGGCAGGAATCAAGAAAGGAGCAGACCTTGCTATGCAGTGCTAAGGGGGTGTGAGCTTTACGGGCTTGTGGAAAGGGGGCAGGACAGGGAGCCCAGGGGTTGAGCAAGGTGGTCTTTTGGCAGCTGAGGGAGGGAGGAAGGAAGTGGGGGCCAGTGGTTATTGCTGAGGAACCACGAAACACCAAATATGGGCAAGGACGTGCGACAGAACTTGCAGGAGGGAATTCGGTGGAACGAAAAGGTAAGCAGCCTTCTAGAGGACGTTTAACTATAAGGGAACAAGTAATAGGTTTATTCCATGCTGAAAAAAAGAAGAAAGAAAACACAACGTTTCATCCGCGGAGCCTTCTTCAGGTGTCAAGAAGGCCTGAACACACCTGAAGAAGGCTCCACGGCCAAAACGTTGTGTTTTCTTTCTTCTTTTTTTCAGCATGGAATAAACCTATTACTTGTTCCTCTGCAGCCTACGCATGCTGACGCAGCTACAGTACCTACATGAACTTCATTCAACTATAAGGCTCGGCATGGCCTGGCACCTCAGTAGCTGTCTGAGCTATTATCGTCCTACTCCCCACCTCGCAACCTTCGCTCTTCTAATTCTGTTCTCCTAACTGTCCCCCAAGCCCGTCTACACTCTGTGGGTGACAGGACCTTCTCCTGCTGCGCCCCAAAGCTCTGGAACTCTCTCCCCAAGGATAAGGTTAAACTCCTTCAAATCCAGACTCCAAAGCTT